GAAGACACCTAAGTACACACAGAAAGGGGGGGGGAGGGGGGGAGAGAGGGAGAGAGAGAGAGAGAGAGGTTAAAACCAAGGGGGTGCTCCGGTGGTGTAGTCTGTAGGGAGGCAATGCCTCTCTGGAAGCTGGAATCCACCAAGACTTTGTGAAGAAAGACCAGCCATCTTCTTCTGCACAATTGGATCAGATGGGCACTTGTTGGGAGGATCAGCTATGAGTTGGTTCAATCTGATAGCATTGGGCGAGCTTTCTGAGCTTCATTGGTTATAAACTATGAACAAATGTTCCTCAGGCAGGTAGAGTTTGAATCCCCCAGAGATCTCATTGGGTCAGAAAGGTGACTGGAAACACCAGCTCATGTCAGTTACAGCCTGTTTGTGATTTTGTTCTCTGATGCAAGAGGCAGGGAGTAGGTATTTGTAGATATGCACAAATGGAAGTGGAAAACAAAAGCTACAAGAAAGAAGAGTCTTTTTCCAAAGGAGTGAGACTGGGGAGCTTCAGGTTAGAGTCGAGCGGAAACCTGGGAAGGTGGGAGTTGTACAGTTGAACGCCCGACCTGCCACTTGGGACTGACACTCTTCAGGTGCCACTCTCCCTGGGCCTCAGTTTACTCATCTGTTTTAGATATATAGAAATCTATATAGACATATGTTATTGTTGTTGATTGTGGTCGAGTCGAGCACGACTCATAACGATCCTATGAACAAAAGGCCTGAAGCCTTTCTATAACTATAGTTTCTTAAAGTTCATAGTTTCCGGAGGCATCCAATCCTTCAATCCTTTCCCCATTTACAGAAAGTGATGCTACCAAGCTAACAGTAGGTGATTTTAGTCTGTGGCACTCAGGCCTGCTTTTAATTGTTTTTGGTCAAACATTCTTCTAGGTGGTATAGCACTGGTATGTCCATTTGCTGTACAGAGGTAACTTGTGGTTGCTGTGATGCTGAACACTGTGACCTTGATGTGCCAAATGTGATACTGGTCACCCATTGTGGACAGTGTTTGGTGGAGCTCCTTGATTAAAACAAGCTTGGAAGCATGAGTGGCATCTACTTACCTCAGGGAACCCTATGAACTTGGAGAAACGAAGAAAGTTATACAAATGTTAAGGTCTTTTGTTCATAGTGTTGCTATGAGTCACCACCTATGTCTCAACAGCACTTAACAACAACAACAATACCAACAACAACATCCCTTTCTACTTTCTGAGTTTTATCCTTGGGCAAATCATGTTCCTCCTGTATGGCTTATTTTTCTACAGAATATTATATATATATATATATATATATCTCAGAGAGAGAGACAGAGAGAAATAGATAGAGATGTGGGGATAGATACACACAGATAGATATAGATATAGATGATATAGATATAGACATAGACATAGACATCGATACCTATCTTGATATCTATCTATATACCTACCTAGATATCTATCTATATATATGTAAATGTGGCATCAGGATTGAAGAAACATTCATCATTAATCTTCAGAATGCACATGATACAATCTTTCTTCTGAAAGTGAAGAGGAAGAACTTGAAGCCCTTGCTACAGAATATCAAACACTGCATACAGATTGCATCTCAATGTCAAGAAAACAAATTCTCACCACTGGACTGATAAGCAATATCATGATAGATGGAGAAAAGATTGATACTGTCAATGTCTTCATCTTACTTGGATCCACCATACAAAACACTTGGTACAGGCAACCAGGACATCAGGAGAAGTACTGTACTGAGAAAATCAGCACTCAGGAACATCTCCAAAGAACTGAGAAATTATGTCAATTTAAAAACTAAAGTCCACCATGGTCTTTTCAATCACTTGTATGCATCTGAGAGTTGGATGATGCACAAGGATGACAGAAGAATCAATGTCTTCAAGTTGTGGTGTTGGAGAAGAGTACTGAATATCCCGCAGACTACCAAGAGGAAAAATCAGACAGGTCTTGGAGAAAGTGCAGCCAGAACGCTTTGTAGAGGCAAGGCTGGCCTTCATCTCACTTTGGACACTCCTAGGATAAAGACATCATGCTTGTAAAGGTGGAGGGATGGGAAAGGAGAAGACCCTCGACCAGGAGGACTGACACAGTGAGTGCAGCTCAAGTGTGTCAGAGATTGTGAGGATGGCACAGGACAGGACAGGGTTTAGATCCATTGTCCATAGGGTCATCATGAATTGGGTGTGTTTCAATAACATCTAACAACAAATCTCTCTCTGTGTATGTATGT